CATTAATCCAAATTAACTTTTTCTCGAGCCTAGTATTAATAATTAACCACGAGCTATCCAACGAGCCCAATATTGATACATTTATCATTACTCTATCAATATTTAAACATTTTCCCCAAATAAAATATAATTTAATAAATGTATCATTTTAATCCCTAACTTTCAAAACGTTAAGATATAGCACACAAAATTTAAGTTCTATTTTATTTAAATTTTCGGGGCATTACAATTCTCTTTAGAAAACGCTAACAAAGGTCCATCTGAACTCTTCCGCCCAGCTACAAACAATGGTAACACATCCCGTTAGTAGTTACATCACCCTACATCTTACGCCGACAACTAGCCGACTTGGAAAGACCAGGTTCTTCTCCAAGCTGCATTTTATGCATGTTCAGGGCTGTTGAACGAGGTTGAGAAAGTTCCATTTAAGGTCATACGAAATCCAACAAAAAACAATTTGTTGCATCCATGAAGAACGGCCATCCTCCTTTTGCTAAGCATGCTAAACCCTCTATATAAAGTCCAAACAGCAAATGGAACTACAATATGCTCCAGGCCTTCAATTTCTTCACTCTATTAATGCTAAAGAATATTATCAGGAGTGAATAAGCAAAACTTGAACTTGGATTGTTATACTCATTTGGAATAATGTTGTGTTAGCACTCTTACATCCCCACTATTTCCTAGTCCTTGAAAGAAAAGGAATTCTGGCTACATCCATCGATAGCCAAAAACACTTTCATGCTTTTGCAATGAGATAATTTGGTATTTGATTGAAGCTTTTCAGTTCTGAGCATGGTTCCTATGATTGTGATCAAGATATACAGATTACTGAAGACATCTTAAGGCAGAGCAACTATGTACAAGACAGGAATATGGAAGATGGTTTGTTCGGGCAAATTCAAAACTGGAAAGGTAGTCTTAGGTTCAAACGTATTTTAAACAATTCTGGTTCATTAAAACACTTTATACAAGTGTTATTACCTGGTTTTGATTACTAGTTTGTTCACTGTTGTGCAGGAGTAGGAAACATCAGATAATTTCATTTGCTGCACTTTCTGGTTCTACATTTACTGAATCGATTGTTGAAATTGTAATATAGCACTAGCTGGGGCTGGCATTATTAGAAGCAAACTATTAGAAAGTAGCTCAAGCACTAGTCTCAATGATTTAGAAGGTGAAGGATGCATCAATTTCTATCTTGAGAGGTACCTTAACTATTAATTTTTTGACAGGTTTATGGCTCATAGTGGCTGCTCCAATTATTGAGCATCAAGTTCCATTTAAGAAGAGTAGCTGAAGCCCTTTATGTTAGTTTACCCTTTACA